ACCCCTGTTATGAAATGCAGCAAAGTACACATTCGATATTTTGAAATTGTGTTTATCACAGCCATGCTATAATAATCGAAAATTTTCGAAAAAGTGAAAAAAAGAAAATGTAATCATTTGTAACTTTGTTTAATTATACCCGATTTTATTATAAATAGCAGAGTTTCTCGTAAAATAAACATGAAAAATTTCAGCCTTCAATTGTTTATAATTTATAAGTAATGGGCAAAAATCCACAAATTTTATTTTAAATTTTAGTAAGAAGAAAAACGGAGTTGCCTTCAGTTTGCTTTTTTTTTGCTTCCATTCCAATCTGAGTGCAAAAACTTCAAGTGCTTCTGAAGATGTTGTAAAAGATTGAAACAAAAATAATAGTAATTGTATAAATTTCCGAAAAATCGTGCTTCGGGAAAAACGCGTCTAAAGTTTTGAAAAGTGACATGTTTTTTTATTACTTTTATTTTATATTTTTATTATTATTTTTTATAAACTTTCTGTTATGTTTTTCATTAATCTTGAACCATCGGACAATAAAAATGCTCTTCCATACTAAAATATTATGTTTCGTTGATGTTCGAAAATGTTGGATTTGCTGCATCTGTTAAAGACAGAATAGCATTTTTTAAAAGATTTCCGAATTTTCAAATATCAAATTTCCTAGAAGCGTTGGAAGAAGTTATCCTACATTCGAAAGGATTCTCAGTGAACCAGATACTTCCTAAAGAAGTGTGTTAGTGCATTAAAGAGGCTTAAAACCATTAGATAAGATATTAGGTTTCTATTTCCCAGTAGGGATTCAGGCAGTGCTCCTCGAAGCACTTGGAGAAATAAGGAAAACATTTTTCGGAAACACTTATCAAGCCAATACTGAAAATGCAAAATACTTTATGAAAGGTTACAAGGTATTAACCAATGTGTTTTCTGGGTGGAAGGTCCCCTAAAAGAGGTCGAGCTTCATTATTGGTGCAATTTCTGCTGTTAAAGTTTGAAATATTTCCACGATGAAATATGTAAAATAAATGAAAATAGTTTTGAGTTACATTACATTTAACCAACAGACCACCGAAAACACAAAAATTATTATCATTTACAGATATATAATTGACCCCTACAAAATCAAATCGTAGCTCGCGGCATTAACACAGTTAGCATTGCAGTCGGTCATATTAGTTTTTCAACCCTTTATAAGTGTGCGATGCGTAAAGATTATCTAAGGGTTATAGGTAACTAGAGAGAAGTGAAAGACCAAACACTAGCCGCACATACAACGGACGAACACAAATCTGTGTGTGTGTGTGTCTGTTTTTCCAAACTTACAGTGTGCGTGCAGCAAAATTTCAATTCCATTACCGGAAAAAGTAGATATACTAGATTTGTCCGTCTCTTTGCTACTAATGGAAGTGTTCTAGTGTATGCATATTTGAGAAAAGGGATTTGATCTTTGCCTCTACGTTTTAAACACATGGCCGTCGGTTCCATTGTTTGGTTTTGTACGTATGTCCGTTGCTAGATTTCCCATCTTGTCTTTGAAATTGAACAATTCAACCTAAGAATAATAATGGAATTTAAAATGTCTCCGCAAATAATTTAGGACTTGCGATACGTATTGATTTGAGTCCGATGCAAGTATGCCCTTGAACTTAGAGGTGTTCAGAATTCGTCGCGGCGGACGAATATGGCATCTTTGCTTGTTATAACATTAACGTGTTATAATATTTAACGCGCTGTGTGGCATATTGTCGAATGCCCTCGTGTGGCACGTATTTACAGACATGTGTTTTATTTAATTATCAAAATGTGTATGTACATGTTTTAGTGTTTTTGTAATCATTGACCAAAAGGTAGTTAAATCAGCATTTAATCTGGACCATATTCTGCTTTTTCTTTATACTTCTGCTGCGTTCCTTAAAACGCAAAAGCAAAAAATGAACGGGTTTTAAATTTCCACCTTTTGCCATATTGTTTTTGCTGCTGCAACACAGGCAGTAGGGCATACAAGCATGAATTCATTATTCATTTTCGGAAGCTGTTCCAAATTTGAAGTAATATTTGTTCGTTGTTTTTATATTCTTCAAAAATTTGCCACATTGCACCGAAAAAAACTGGTTTTTCATCATTTTCTGACTGGAATTAAAAAAAAAAAACCAAATATGTTATTATTGCATTGTTTAATTATTTGACAAATCTGGCTCCTGGTCCATAGCAAATGGTTATTTCTGCAGCATACACACTTTCTTCTCGACTTATAAGCATATGTCGAAATCAACCCTTTTATACATCTATTCCTTGTTTGCAACATGTACATAACTATGCTCTTATGCCGCTACGCTTTTTATATTGAAAACTTTTTTCTACTTCATATCTACTTTAATGAATTCAATGATCATCTTTTTAAGATGTTAATGTTGCGTTTTTTCATCTTTTGTAGAAAAAATGATAAACTTTTATGAAAAAAAAATTTAAAAAAATTGAATTTTCTTGAAAAATACTCTTCACCTTAGCACCAATATGAATATGAAATTTTTATTATAAGATAAACCGCCAAGACGGACATCAACGTGATTGTTTCACTTTTTATGGGTGGAAAAATGAAGAAACGAATTAAAGCACTCACTCCCACATAGAGATCATGCGAAAAGATTTTGATGGCTTAACCTTTTCCTGCACGGAAACGTATTATTAGCACAATTAATTAGAGTTGAATAACGTACGTTCATATCATAGTGTTTTCAACAAGAAGGGAAAAATTCGACTAATTTATTTACATTTCTGACAAGCTTCTTAAGGCAACTTTTTAAACATAATTTAATACGTGATTAACGCAATCTTCAATCAATCATTGTGGGAAGCTGATTAGTCGATCACTAAGTAATCTGCAGAACGATAGAAGACACTATATGTATCTCTAGGCTTCGAAATTAGCAGCCGCAATAGCGATGGTGGGCAATATAATTGAAGGCGCATCAGCCGATAATCTATCTATTTTTTAATGATGAATTTCGGAGGTAGATATAAGCCAAGCAGGAGGAAGGAAGAAATACGCCGCGCCTTCCAACGTTTTCACGCAAAACCAATATGAAATTATATTAGCAAGGACGCAAGATTAACTTCGATTATATATCTGCAAAATTAAGTGGCATCTATGAAGGCCATTTTAAAAATCCAGCATAAAAATAATTTTGGTACGGAATATACATTATCCCGCAAGGTCGATACCGAGTTTGCCATTTGAGTTGATGGTTAACCTTTCCACTACGAGAGACTCATGAGAAAAACCACCACCACAGCTTTGTAACGCAGAACTTAGGTAAGAAAGCCTGCATTCGTCAATGAGAATAGTTGATGACAGTCCCATGAGTGTAGAGTACAAATATTTGCTCGATATCGAACGTAAAATGTCATATTTCAGCATGAAAGCAGAACTGCTATAGCACTTCATGTTGAAGAAAAAAATAAAGCAAAATATCGTTATGAAACCACATATTTGACCAAATTAATAGACATAGAAAGTTACTTAAGCGTAGATATTACAAAAATTTGGAAAAAAGTCAAATAATTATTTTCGATCTTTGTCTTCTTGGCGCCTTAAAATTCGAAAAGAAATAAATGAGTATAGAACGCTAGCCATGAAGAAAAAAAAAATTAGAAAAGCAAATAAAAAATAATTTATTAATTCAATTTATTAAACTTTATTTTTTTGTTGTTTATTTTAATTTTTTTACCAACTATTTTTACAAACTTCGTGCTTCATTTACTTATTTACTCCCTCTTGTTTTTCTTCTTTGTATGGAATTTTATGTATACAACAACAACATCACAAATACACCGCTGCAAATACAAAGAACAAGACGCTAAATTTGACCCGAAAGGAATCGAGAAGCCAAATACGACCAAATCGATACGCTTTTCGTATCGCATGGTGTGTAAGCAGAACACTAATTCTCTTTATCGGTGGATGTGTTTAAATATTTGTTTCTTTTGCTTTAGATTATATGTACTTAACTTTTTTTAGCACCATTCACATTTGTAAGTTGACTACTGTTTACTTACTTTTCAAGATATTAAAGAAACTGCTGAAACTTATCACATAAAATACCATTTTAGGAGCTTGAAAAATAAAAAATGCGAAACATTAATGATGATTTATTGAAGAACTTTCTCATTTCAAGGTTTTGGTAGGTGAAGGCGAATACTAAGTCAGTATCCGCAGGTTCAAATCGCAAGTGCGGTTTGAGTTTTCTTTAGCTGTAATGGGTGCTCAGTCAGTAAAGGCGTACGTTTTACCATTTTTTTACCATTTTACCTTTTGGGCGCAAAACCACTAGTCTGCGGCAACTAACTCCCTATTTCTTTCTTCTTTCTCTCTTTTTGCTGGCGATGACGGTATTACACGAATAGAAGAGATCTCCTGAGCGGTTAGTGATCAACTGCCTATTCTATTTGTGTATAGTCTTAAAAAAAAACTATGCTTAATTTGAGATAATATATTTTTAATGCGTAAGTTTCATTTAAGAAAATTCACGCAATGTTTCATTAAATATAATATTTATGCAGAAAGTAATCAACCATTTTATAATGCACTCTAATACATAGCCAATATTTTTTGCAAATCCTGATTCAGGAATTGGTTTGTCCAATCGTTTTCGGGATTATCTAAGTGATTATCAAAGTCAATAATTTCCTTCATCGCACCACGTTGCAGGAGAGCAGCTACAGCTTGAAGCGTTATGTTTGATTTTAATATTAAGCCTTTTACTTGAGACCAACGTCCAGAATCACTACAGCAATTATATACTTTAATTGCCTCACTCTTTTGATCCAAGGTCATTAGTTTATTTTCAATAATAACGAAGCAGGCATTTTTATAATTCTCCTGAATTTTATCAGCAATTTTACCAGCCGGAGCTCTTTCTACGGAGTTCTCATAAAAATTTTCAGGAGCAGCATAATAGCCGGCCACCACCAAGTTCTCGCGCTGAGCAAAAGCATCAATCTGCAATAGAGCTACTTCTGCCATTGGTGTTACATAAAGGCACTGATGGAATAAAGGAATAGCATCTACTATTTCACCACTCTCCTTAGTGCCCAAAAGAACACCATTTACCGCAAGGTGTGGATATTTTGCTGCGTGAAATATCATTTTAGCATAAGCACGTTCAGTAAATTTGTAGACTGTCATATTTGATTTTAGTTAACAATTTCAAAATTCGTTTTCTGTTCTTTTCACTTTTTGTAATAAAAATAATATCTTTATAGTGTAAGTAATCCTCCGTTTCCAATATCACGTACACACATGCTATTATCCAATAACAAAAATCTATAATAAATGGGTTAAAATGCAAATGTGTGGATATTACATCTTCATTGCTTTGGCTGGATGGTCACAATTTACAATAGAATTGACAGAAAATGCAGCAACTTGCCTTAGTGAGAATTTTTATTTTTCGCAAGCAGGTTGTCCGTTGTGCATAAATCATAAAATTTACTTTCCTATTAAATTCTTTTTTTGGTTTGTTGAGTGGAGATGGACTCTATTAAATTCTTATAACACAAATTCTTTATATTAGCAAAACTCGTCTACCGCACAATAACATCAATAAAAAATCAAATTCGACAAGACGTGCTCGCAAAACACTTTTCTTCTTCTTGTCCGTCATTCATTAAAACGTATTCAGCTGTTTGACGAGGGAATATCATAGCGTTTATTGAAGAAATTTTGTTTCCTTATTTATGGTAGTGAAATGTTGCTCCTTTTTAAATGTTTTAAATATTTAGACACAACAATTCAATAGTCTATCAGCTGATTTATACTACTAACAATCAATAATTTATATGCATAGAAGCACTCAAATGTGCATACGTAAACATACAAATTCATGTGGTAGTTATGCGATACCATATTGGTCATATTGTACTATTGTTGCCACATTTTTTCGATAAAAACAATCACAAAACTTCGCTTAGAAATCATATCAAAAAAACGGAAAAAATTAAGTAAAGAATATTAAAAGGGGATGATAAAGTGTTCTTCATTTGCTTAATTATTAGACGTTGCAATCAATGATATTTACTCAAAATTACCGTATCGACTACGTTTTCCGGTCGTTTTGAAGATTCGTTTGTTGAAGAAGGCTATCGCTTAAAAATCTCTTTAAATCTGTTAAGACATGCGTCCTAATTTATGAAATACGCATAGATTGCAACATTTGAAGTGTTATTTATTTGTTTACCCATGACTTTCAGTTATGATAAATTAACAGCTTACGTTAATTGAATCTTAGAAATAAATCATATGTTAAGTGGTAGGACTAAACTATTAAAAGGTGTATTTAGTAACACAATGCTACATCAGATATGCTACACTGCATTTTGGCAAATGCAGTTGTTCATCCATTGTTGTGAAAATAAATAAAGCGGTACATAATTTTGATGCAAAGGCACATTTTTCACGAAAGTCCTGATATTGAGGGTGCGTAAAACGCCAACTGATGTGATTCAAAAGCATCAACCCTCATTTACTTAATATACTATATTTTAGTTGTTTCTATCATAAAAAACTACAAATTAAACTATGTGCCCACATAATGGCTTAATTTGCATGGGAACCTCTGTATGGTGGAGTCGAAAAAACACATCTACGTGATCCAAAACTCCTACAGTTAATTTCATATTTCATCATAAACTATCAAACATTAAACGCCTTCGTTAAAAGGGTTATTGTTCATGAGAATTCCTATATGGAGTGACGTCCAGGAAATAGATCCACATACTTCAAGTTTGGTCCGGAAATATTGAAAATTAGGTCTTTTTGCCAAACGAAAATTCCGTTTTCGTGGGAATGCTTGTATACCGATCCAAATTTTTGAATAGGATTTGTTCTTGTCTCAAAATAAATGAGTATATCAAATTTCACTAAAAGAACGTAAAAGTATAAGTTGCAAGTCGTGTACAAGTTAAACACAAGAACACAGGAGCAGAGAAGCAAGGAACCAAGATTCAAGCAAAGATTCTAAATCGATCGGCACAATGAAATTAGCTATGACATAGACAAAACGCGTGTAGTAAGGACACTGATTTGATTGAATTTAGAGAATGCGATAATAAGAATATATTACACGTATCATTTCGATTTTTCTAATGAACCATAAACGGGTTGACCAACTCCTGCACGGCTGAATTTTATGGAAACAAACTTCTTAGAAGAAACGTCGGGAACGTGGAAAATTCTCTTACTCGATAATACCGGCGAGTCAATAGTACCACCTATTAACTTAAATGAGAGAGAAAGAAAAAGGATAAAAACGGTAGGGCTAACAAAACCAATCTCTTTTCATTAGGAAGCAAAGAGACAAGCGAGATCCAAGCTAAATTTTTAAAGGCAAAGGGAAGGAAATCATTCTGAGCAGATTCTATTGAATCTTCATAACGACAAGACCACACAACAGAAGCAAACTCGTGTATAGCCTTTTTGTGAAGCATTAGTCGTCGAGCTCTCTGCATCGCTGTTTTCAATTTATGCGAATCGATAAAATAATCAGTTATAAAGTAATTCCTCCTTGACAACGAAAGTTTCTCAAATTTTTTGGGACTTAAGTCCATAAAATATAATAAGCAGCATGTAACCAAACTACTTGAATCACATTGAAGGAAATGAGAGTGCGATTTCAAGCAAATTGAAGAAGAGCAGTCCGACAAAGATATGATTAATTTTTTTCACCGAAAGGAGACCACGGATAAGTGATATAAGATAAACAGAAATGGCCCCAACTTGAAGCCTTCAGGTACACTTGACAAAATTTTACAAATACGCATACAGACCCTTTATGAACATTTACAGGGATGAGATAATCGGAAATCGTCAAATGTACCCTAATTTTTAAAATTAATATTAGTGGTATAATCTACCTCAGAAAAATATTTGTTAGTGCAAATTAGGTTATTTGTGGATTAGAGCCTCTATATTCTAAATAAAGAGCTCCACGGCTTATCAACAGCTCTTCGGAGACATTTCATGGTAACATCGAAATGAAATGGGCTGAACATAGCTAGGGAACTACATTTGAAGGCTTTTTGAAGTTTTTATCTCATTGATTTGACTCTCTTGAAGCATATCAGACGTCCTCGCGAACTTCACGTTTCATATTTGTTGGTATTTAATCGTCATAAATTTTGATAGCTATGGTGTTGGCATATGTTCTAAGCGTTTCTTACATTGTAAAAATCATTTAAAATGTAGGTGCACCAACTACTACAAAGGGCTTGCTAAAATTGAACTTGTACGCCAATTACTTGAACAGTGGTCAGTGTTCAAAAAGTTGTTATCAATATCGTGTTATTAAGAGTACTGCGGCAGTTACCCCATCTTTCACTGTATGATCTCCTCAATTATCTGTAAATTCGGAGCCATCTATGAGTATATTTGCACCGATAACGGAGCAACTACGTTTCTATCAGTCAGGTTTTCGTCAAGGATATTGATTTACATACGGACACGTTCATAAGGCGAATGAATCAGTTGTAATGTCTTATTGGATTCGAAGTTCAGCTGCACTCCGAACCGTTGGCGCAAACCCATGGTCTTGCCCGAAAAAGTGTGTGCAGATCGGCCAGAACGGGAGAAGTATAGGCGTCATACATGCGTAGGTAGTGCCTTGTTACCAGCTCGTGTTTGACACAATACGTCAGAAGTTAATGCATTTTTTGCATTGTAGGTTTCTGTACGATAAATAGATGTCTCAGAACGATTTGAACCGTTTAACATTAGCAGTTCCTGCTATTCTCACTCCTTCCCACTAGTAGCATAGATATTATCACTGATATCCAAAAATTATGGGATGTGTGCCCACTAGGGAACGGAATCAGTTTAGCAAATTGCTGCTCATCGCCTTATATAACGGTCTCAAATGGATTATTTCCAGAATCTGTGTATTGGATTTAAAAGGGTTTTATATAATCAATATGTACAGCAGATGCGAGCCAGATGCGTACATCATTTAATATTCGTTCAAACGAAATGCTTCGCCACTCTGTTTTAATTTCACTAGCGGAATTGTGGACGAGACTTCAACGTAATGGGTAGGCCTATGTAGTGAAGGCTAAAACATCTAACGAGCAACGTCAATGTCATGCCGCTAAAGTTGACCTAGTGCCTTGCCATTGAATTAATTGTTCAAGGAGCTGGAATGTTAGAGAGCCACGGCCCATGACATAACCTATACAAGGTCTTTATAAGGTTTCTTGTATAACGTATAATAAAACGTACTAATAATTATATGAAGCAAGTCGGACACAACAAAATTAACAAGGCGAAGATTTCCTGTCTGTACGGCTATATTCTAGAGTATCGACCGGTCGCTACTCACAAGAGGTAACAATGTATTTTCTTGTCATAGTTTTTGTGGTCATGTGTCAAATTTTGGAGCAATAGTTACAGTAAATCTATTCAATATTAATTTTTTAATAAACCAATATTATAAGATCACGAAAACCAAAAACGAAACTCGTAAGAAAACTATATTTAGCTATAGGCGAATATATCACTTGCACCACCGATATATAAAAGGAATAAATTTTTATAATTCGATACTCCATTACATTGGGTAGACGTGGCCGATTTTTTACAATTTTTGTAGAAATTTCCATTGTATATAGGCAGACAAAAGGAGAGCCTAAATCAAAGATAATAACAATCAAGGACACATCGTGTATAACTCAGTAGGTAAGAATAGCGTGTAGCAAGTTGTTGTTTGTGGGTTTCAAATCTCAATAGCGATAGAGTTTACTTTCCATTTAATGTTTTCGTTTACGCTAATAGAAGAATTTTTACCGCAAATGCTGCACTGTTGCGCAAACAGGCGGAACGACAGCGAACAGACGGACATGTGTAGGTGCATTCTAAATTTGAAACTGAATAAGAATTAATATACTTTGTGGGGTTTTGGAAGTTTGTTTCTGCACGTTATAAAAAGTATTGAAAAATAAGCAAGAAAATTATAATCGGTTGCGACCGATTCTTTTGTACCCTTATCGATTTATAAGATTAAAAAAAGGAAAAATATGAATTTGCGTATTCTATAAAATTGGGTGGATGTGGCTGATTTTTGATGTTCTTGTGAAATAATATGGAGGAAGTTTTATGCTGTATCTGTTGTAGTTTATGAGCAACAAACAAACGACACGTAAAGGTGTTTTCAGTTTTAATTGTGTAGATGTGTGGGCTTTATAAGTCTGTTATCAATCGATAGGCGTGGCCAATTTTTCCTATTTACGCAAAGGCACTACCGATTTGAACCATTGTCAATATCAGTTTCCCAGCGAGAGCTACCAATGTTTCTGCAAGGTTCGAAGTCGTTATTTTTATTTTTGCGGCCAAAAGAAAGTGTGCAATAGTCACTACATAGACGGATAAACAGGTATGGTTAAATTGATTCAGAACTAGATACTGGTCAACAAGAGATACTTTCTGGGGTCTCTGAAGGTTCTTTGTGAGCGTTGCAAACGTTCTGAGAAAATGAATACACCTCTCACCGTTCAGTGATGCCTATAAAAATCAGCCTTGCCTACCCGATATTATAGTGCACAAAAATGTAGTTTTTCCTTTTTTTAAGTCTTTTCTAAGAAAAGGCGAGGGGTGTAAAAGATACGACCACAGCCGAATATTACTTTTCTAATTGTTTGTTATTGTTCCCTTATCCTTTGGTTTGTTTTTTATAAGATATTCGTGAAGGCATTTAGGTACATATAACAGGTTGGCAGAAAAGTTTTTCTTATATTTCACCACCTGCAGGTAATTTTGCTTGTCAGGTTAAGGCAAGCAAATAAAATGCTTCGTGGAGGTCTTATTAT